AATGGCAGCTCTAGGACAAAGTATGCAGGAGGAGAAGCATGCCAAAGTGGAGATTACTTGGATGAGAAACGAATCACAATAGTGTGCATTGCATTGGTAATGCACACTGACTACCAAAAAGAATAATTCGAACAATAAGTGTGGTGTTCCTCTAAGAGCCAGAGAAAAAAACCTTTTCTCCCACTTCTGCTAATCAGTCCTTTGTGTTGTTTAGTTCTTCATTTATCAGCCAAATTTCCTATTTCATGGCTTGGTTTATAAACATCTGCATAATCATTTTAAACATCAGTTATTAACTGATTATTTTAATAATAAAGGAGTGTGTCTGTGTGACTGCAGTGTTTCCCTCTTCTTCTCTGAATATTGAGAGTTTTAAGAAAACTGTAGATCTTGAGGTGAAACAGCTCATTAGACGTCTCTGCTCTCTGGACTACAAGCTGCTGTGCAGACAGATGGCAGAGCTCGGTGTTCTGTGAACTCAGACTGCTTTAGAGACAAAAAAATAAAAATAAAACACGGACAAATGAACATAATGGTGCAGTGAATCCAGCGGAGCAGCAGGTGAAGCTTCAGGTACACGCCAAAGTAATTCTGTTAGAAAAGGCAGCGTGTTTCCAGCCTGAGATTAATTTCCCACAAACTCAACATGGTTATTTTTAAACACGTCTTAACACATAAAGGCACAATCATGAATCTGTTGAAACAATGGTTGGAAGTTTTAAAATTGTGAAATTAAAGCTTTTTAAATGTGGTTTGTGTGGTTTTACCTGAAGCTTTGGGACATCTGCCTGCATCAGCTTTGTTGGGACTTTTTGCAGCGGATGAYGGCGCCGTGGAGGGCTTCTCAAACAGTTTGTCCTCCATGTTGGCTCTCTTGACGTAAACACACGACTTCCCCAGCAGCACGATACTGTTCAACACTTTTAGTGTCACCAGCCTACAGTGACAGGACCGTAGTAATAAAGTAGAAAAGATTTTTTTTACTTAACAAGCAATAAACCTCAACATGAAAAAAAAAAAGTTTAAAAATATGGCAAGTCAGAGATGTCAAAACAATATTTGTGTTAAATAGGAGGCATAATGTGTTATTTTTGTTTTTGATGTTTTATTATCACTACTTTTATTCTAGTGCTGGGCATAGATTAAACATTTTAATCACGATTAATCTCACTTTTTTCTTTTTTTTAGTATGTAGGTTTGTATATTACAATACAATCCATGTGTAACACATTATGTACAGTTTTTTTCTTTGGCTTATTTTATTTTATTTATGTATGTTTTGCTGACAACTGTGACCTTAGTATCTATCTTTTATTCCTCATGTAGTACTCATTTGGAATGGAAAAAAAAGAATCATTGAATTCTTGATTTAACTTCATTATTCTGCACAAAATTGAACTGACTTGAAGACGTTTGGAGCATTTTTAGGTCCTGTTTTATTTTCAAAAAAGGGGCAATGTATTAAAAAAAACTTTAAACAAATAAAGCAAAGCAAGCCGGTGTTGTACAAAATTCAGTTCCCCTGTGAAAATCTGTTCCCCCTGTGTTGGGAGCACCTCCCTCATATTAACCATTTAGGTTTGGTCTGACGTAAAGGCTGGACCAGTGATTCTCTCTAAGGTTAACCAGTAGGGGGAATTGAATTTCGCACATCACCGGTCTTACTTTTTTCTTTTTTTTTCCACCAACATGCCTCTGAACCTTGTCTGCAGACCCTCCCTGTGTTTATGCTGGTTTTAAACTGAAGCGATGTTTCAGGCTGGAACTGCTCCGGTGGTTTAGAGTTGCAGAGCTCACAG